TTATGTAATTTGTAAAATGTTAATATTTATTTTGTTAGTTAAATTATATATGGAATATTAATTTCGTTTTTAATATAATTTGGAAACAATGACATTTTCTAAAAATAATAAACTAAAATAATGATGTGTCATTTTACGATTGGAGGACTTAAATCCTACGTGGACGCTCTCAATGGCTTATAGCCTCAACTTTTATATAATATAGATTTATATGCTGTAAAAAACTTTCGAACTGGCCCTAATACTTTATCTTTAAAATATAAAATTTATTATGTATCTTCATAAACTTTTCTTTTTCTTTTAACTGTGAATATTGTCTAATGTGATTTAAGCTAGCTCATTAGAACCAAAATATAAATTTCGTTCAAAGGATGTTGACGACTAGGTCACGGCATGAAGGCAAAAGATTTGGACAGTATATTCTTCAGATAGGCTTGATTTGTGTTAAATGCTAAGAAGCTGATATTTAGTAGTTTTCTCTTGTTTGGTACGCCTGCAATGAAACACTTTATAAGGACCAATGTCACGAGGCGCATTGCTTGAGTTCCATGAGAGAAAGACACCACTGCTCTGAAATATCAAACCTAGCAGCGGTATGCACCGCCCCCACACAATGTGTGCATTAGGATCGCTAGCTAGGTCAGAATTATCATTCTAAACTGGGATCCGATCACCAAAGTAAGCCCTATACCTATATTCCGATTTCAATTTCAACGGGGAGGGCTTGTGATACAATAACCCCTATATAATATGTATATTAATTACATCTGAATGCTTCGTAATTCTTTAGACGTTGAACGACTTTAGAAACAATATTGTACATATGTCCTGGCCGTAACTTTGAATTTATTTCCCAATAATGTCGATTTCCTTACACCTCAACGGTAAAAAGGTATACCAGAAGTTCGAAACATTATCGCTAAAATAAGATGTCAAAAATCATGTCCAAAGAATACTCACTGCCTCTTAGCGTTTATAATTACATTTTTTTTTTAAAAAGCTCTAAATCAAAATTTTTGATCAGTCACGACCTTTCTTGTGTGACCTATGGTTAATGGAATATATTTGGAGATGTCTAATCTTCTTTTTTGTGCACAGAAGATGTCTAATCAAGATCTAAGTCTAGGTCGATAAAATAAAAAGTTGTGAGGAGAAGAAAATGACGCCCATATAATGTTCCAAAAAATAACACAACACTTGAACATATCTGGAAACATTCTTAATTAACTAGGGGGTTGTTTGTTCAAATCATATTGTTAATTATGATTCAGTAAATATTTACTACTGTTAACGTGAGATGAATTTATTATAAGCTAACTATCTTTTAGCTATAAGTTGTTTTTATTTTCGTTTCAGACGTTAATTATAGAGGTCACTTTAAGAATTAATGACATTAATCCTAAGGAAGAAATGTAGGCTAGCTAGATAACTAACACATTGTGGAAGCATTTTGGCCTATTGATCAAGATATTAAAGCTTTTACTTAAGTTCGAGGTTTGATTTCCAGATGAAACATATTGTTGAATATAGTATGCAAATAAAGTTTATTAAAAGTTTCATATTGATGTAAATAGAATCGTTCATTGTGATCATGTATTATATGAAAAAAATGTTTATTGTTATTGAATATGTTATAGGTAGTTAATGTGTCATATATATAGTAGAACTAAAAGTTATATAATGATGTAACTGAAAATTTGACCAGTACTAAAAATTAATAAAAATTAATTACTGACATAAAACCTATGCAAAATTTTATGTTATATCATGTTCATCGCTGAAACCATAAAAGAGTTTCTTATTATTATTTTTTTTTTTAAAAAAACTTAAAAAAAAAAATTAAAAAAGGAACAAATAGCGGGCTGCCACGTGTCGGACGGGCCCGCAAACAGTACAGAAAACCCCCAATAATCGGTCCTTATTTGGTGATTTTGATTACCGTTTTTTGTGTATTGTGGGTCCCATTACCTTAAGAAACCCACTAATACTTCCCGATAATCCTGCCCTTAAGACAATATACTTTTTGTGGGTTGACAATATAGTTTCTTACAAAACTGAGTATTGGTTTGGTGTGAATTTATTGATACACAAAATATACACCAAAAATAAGAAGAAAAATCACAATCAACGTATGATGGCCCTCGTATATATAACATAATATAAAACTATATTATATATATAGCTTTACAAGCAATTATTGGAATTCCTTATCTACAAAATGCAGTTGGTGCTTATCATTACTTTTTATAAGTTGAGGATGTTTCCAAAGAAGATTGGTCGCCGGTATTTTTCTATAATATAATGTCTATATAGATGGTTATATTTTAATGTTTACACATACATGGCCACTGCGTCGTTTCAAAATAATTTGGATACAATTTAGAAAGCAAATCATGGGCGTGACATAAGATATAAGCTCATCAATTAAATTTATATAACAGAACGTACTTGAAAAAAACACAGTTACACAACTATTTTGTTTTTCATTTTTTAATCATTTCCTTTACAAGAGATTACAAACTCAGAATATCATTGAGATGACTATATGCATCTATACAATCTATATTTAATCATCTAAGTATGTATAATTTTTTACATTTAAATTAAGAAAACAGTATACTCTTTCAGTAATCCTATGTTTCTATATGATTTTTTTTTGCCTCACATCTCCCCTAGGCTATGACCAATTAATTAACCTAAAATATATAAACCAATCTCAAGTTACACAATGCAAATGACCCCACTAATCATAAAACTAGTACTCTACAACTCGTCACTGTCACCGGAAATATTGTTCACACCGGCGACAACCCACATATCGATTTCTTAAGAAGAGTACCAGTTTAAACCAGATAACTGGTACGACGTCGTTCTGAATAAACCATCCCCTAACACACCACCTTGCTGTTGCATCAACGGTGGAGCTTCTTCCATCATTGAAGAAGACATGTTCAAACAGTCTCCTCCTCCTCCTCCTCCACCGTGAAAACGTTTGCTCGGAGATACATCTTGCTCTTCCTCCGCTACAGGCCAAAACGGCACCGGAAGAGGTCGTTTCAGATTCTCCATCATCATCGGTCCAGAGGAAGAAGCATGATTCAAACCGTCACCGTTGGTGCAGACTGCTACGTTGTTGTTGGTCATGCCACTTCCGTCGTACAAACCGTGATCACCGTCCGGGAACATCCCGTAACCGCCGGGGAAGAAGTTCATAGACCTAGAGACATTATGGTGAAGAAGTCCGGTGGTGGCCGCCGCCATTGATAACGGCGGAGGAATTTTCCTGAAGATGTAATCAATCATGTCATGATCCTTATCGTTATCCACATGTCGGCCTGCGTTATTCTTCTTGTAGATGCGACATAGAACCCAATCATCAAGCTAGCCAAAGAATATTCCAAATATAATATTAAATTAATAATCAAATAATAAAGACAAAACATCAAGAAGAGTTAACTAGTTATGTTATTATTACATACCCGGAGAGAGTTTTTTTTGTTGCCAAAGTCACATCCTGGTGGTCTGTTGTTTGGTTTGTTGTCTATGAGACGATACTCATGCATGATCCAATCACTTTTAATACCTTTTGGAGGTTTGCCACTGTAGAAGACGAGTGCCTTCTTCACGCCGACCTTCTGGTTCCCGTTGGAGGCTAGCACCGGTTTGTCAGTACCCGTTGCTTTCCAGTACCCTGACGTTGCCGCTCTGTTTGGCCTAGCTCCGTTCGGATACTTCCGATCTCTAGGACTGAAGAAGTACCATTCTTGCTCACCAAACGATGCCTTGGCTATGAAAAACAGACCAAAACAAAAAAGGTTAGATCACACGTGTCAAAGAAAAATGATCTCTGGAGGAAGGAAGAAAATACTCATATAAGTTTTACAATAGAAAAAAAGAAAAAAAGAAAAGTTTACAACCAAAGATGTAGAAACTTGGATGATCTAGTAGTAACGCTGGGACAAAACTAATATTACATGTTGAGTTGGAAGGGTTATAGAATGATGATGATGATCATACATACCTGGAAGTTCCCATGGATCGAATTTGTAGAGATCAACTTCAGCTATGATGGCGACAGGTAAAGGAGCAGAGGCGGCTTTGCGTTTGAGGTAGTGAACGACTAGTTCTTCGTCGGTTGGGTGAAACCGGAAGCCTGGAGGAAGGTTAGGCTGCGGTGGCGGTGGAGGACCACCGGAAGAATCGGTGCTCTCCATTGAAAGTTTATTCTTCGTTGATAATCTAGCACCGTGATCGGATGGTTTGGTTGTGATTGTAGGAGAAGCTCATATAATATTTACTCTGAGATTCTTCCTTTTTTTGTTAGATATTTTTTTTTGTGGGGGATAGGTGTGCTGAAAAATGCTTCACAGAGTCAGCGTTACCATTCTTTTAAATGGACACATAAAACGCTAATTTGTGGGTTTTAATCGTATGTTTCTTCTTACATACACTTGGTGGAGATTAGGGTATAAATGCAAACAATTATTTTGTGAAATTTCTTTCCTTCCAAATATCCTTTGTTGGATAAATTTTTCATTATGTTTTTTAAAGAAGTACGATTGCATCATTTTAAAAAACAGCTGAAGTTTATATTTTAAAATTTACTGTTTTGATTGAACAATTATTAATATACAGTTGGATATTATATTTCTATCTAAATTGTTTATCTGAATCATGTTTAAGAGTTTTACACTAAAATCGGATTATTTACTTGATATATATATATTTTAATTTGTTTACTATTGTACATGATGTATATATCTTTATTTGGATTCTAGTTAAAATTTTGAACGAATGATAAGTATTCTAAATTTATAACTCGCAAACATTATGTAAAAATTGCTTTGAGAGATTTCGTGGATTAAAGTTCGTAAATATCGCAGCTATTTTTTGGAAAAAAAAAACAAATTGCGTTCGCCATAACGATTTGTGTCGATGTATATACAACTAAACTTGGGTGTTAAAGATAATCAAGACAATTGACCTAACACAACAGCAGAAAAATGACACATACATTACCAAAACTTTTTACTAGTTACTGAAATCCTTTAGAATCACATAATTCATGTTTGCGATAATCAAAAAGTACAATATTCCCCCATATTTCAGCCGATATAAGGCCTGTTTGTTTTAAGAACACATCAATTGGCGTCAGTGACAATATATAAATAAAGGTGTGATGGAAGTAATTTATAAAATTACGCGGCAACTAAGGATCGATTAGAGGCAGAAAACCAGAATTACCGCTACCGCTGTTATTTTCTATTGTCACATCTACTAGTTATTACTTGATGTAGCGACAGAAAGAAAATCTCTTTTACGGCAACTGTGATGTTTTTTTTGCCGTGATCATAGCTATTATTTGAACGGCTGCCGCTGACGCTGGCGTTTATTAAACGAACAGGCCTATAGTGTGTTTTGGTTGCACTGAAGAATCTAAATATGGCGACAATTCGACACATACAAAGCCTGACTAATCATGTGCGAATCTGTACTAATTACTATATTAACCAAATATTGAGGGCAAATGAGCCATTTGCAGCTTGATAATAGCTATAGTTTAACCATTTAAACATAGATATTTTAGCTGTGTTTAATATTTTTGCTCCACACGGACGAACTACGACAATGAAGAGGAGGAGGTTGTAATTAACGTCGAAAACGATATATGTTGCTATTTCATCTTATGTATGGCAAACTATATTAATTTACAAATAAAAAATAGCAAGATATATTGCTTTCTTCGTTACTTGATGACAAATTACAATAACACATCAAAATCCTGGCTATAATGACCTGGCTATAACACATAACCATTATTATTAACATAATTTTCTTATTTCATTTTGTAACCTATAACAAAAACCGGGCTACCTTTATTATTTTGGTGTGGCCTCCGTTACTAGTTAATTTCCCAATGAAAATCCGTCAAGTGTGATTCCTAGTGGGACAGATATTCACACGTGACGGGAAATGGGACCCATTCAATCGCCACGAAGGGTAACAAATTAATGACGTGGAAATAGATGGCCGGGTGGGTGTAGAGAAAAAAGCTTTACGTTTCAAATGTCATATGTCACGCTTTTGATTTTGAGATAATCGCACCACCAAAAATTCTATTTAAAAAAAAATAAAATTTAGAAACAAACAAATCGACCCATTTCATGTGATTTTATTTTCAATTAATTTATTGTAACTGTATTATTATTATATTCAAATTTATTATAAATTTCCAATTTAAAACTAACCGTTGATGAATAAATTAGTTTTAATTTTTTATATATTATTTAAGTTTTTTTTTAATTCTCGCTATATTATCCCTAATACTTTTTGTCAAGATAGTAACTTTTATCGATCAAAAATCTCAAAACTTTAGTACATTTCGTTCAAGCATAGACATATATACCCGGTCAGAAAGGTTAATCAATTAATTAGGAGTTTAAGGCTTTTCGGATATAAACTCTGATACTTTATTAAATTTAGGTTATTATAATTTTTAATTTAAAATTAATTGATAATTAATAGATTAATTCCAAATTTTATATTATTTAAGGTTCTTTTTATTTTTGGATGTGGGGTATATTATCCCATTATTATAACAATATTTGCTTGTTCTTCCAACGTCACATAAATATTATCCCATTATTATAACAATATTTTCATGTTCGTGTAAGTTGTAACCTTACATAATCGAAGCCTAAAGCAAAGGCACAAGACAAAATAACCATATAAAAAATTTATGTTCATAGTTTAATAATAATCTGAGAAAAGGTCAAATCGAGTTTAGCGATGGTGATAGCGATACTTCCGATCTGGTAATGGTTGCTCTCCGATCTCAGGGATTGAGGGTTATTGTGATTGGGGCTTCTTATCTCTCAGGAATTTCATCGAGATGGAACGATATCGGGATATTTGGTGGGATCGTTGGTATCCAAAATTATGGAGGAATCAGATTT